AAAACTATTTAAAGAATTTGGCAATCTTGAGTAAGTATACGAGTTCAGTCTTTGGTGGTAAGTAAATTTTCATATGATCTATGAATGAACATAAAAAATGATAGGATGCAATTTAATGAAAAAAAAAAAAATAACGAAACATCAAAAGAACGTAAGAAGTTAAATTTATCATTTATTTGAAATTTTAATTAACGATATCATATACATTGTCGAAATAAAGATGCTTCAAAAGAAATAAAATGCAATTTTAAATTAAAAAATTATGATAAAATATGATCATAAACATTCGCGTCTATAAATTAATTACCAATGACTATCTTAAATATCTATTGTATTCAGTATATTATAGTTAATAATATTTATAATTCTAATAGAGTTTTGGACATATCATTGAAGTAAATACTTAACACTGCTATATGGAACTACTACAAACTAATTAATAGATTAATTTTTAATGTTGTTTTTCATAGAGAACTATGTTTCATATATTACATATTCATCTAATTTGGGTGAATTGACTCTATACAGATGGTATACCATTGCACTTTTTGTGAAAAAAAAATGTTAATACGAATTGTAAAAGTAGCAAGTAAATATTTATGCAAAATAAAAGCGGAAAATAACAACAAATTCGGCAAATTTTATAAATGATATATACGTATAATATATCGCTAGTATTTCACAATATTCATATAAATAAATAACGAAAATAGATGGCCAAATAAAAATGTTTTTGTAGAAATAATGCATATGTATTAAAATAAATAATCAATGAGTACGATATTCACGATTTATCATTCAATTAAAATGAACCCTTTCCACTCGGATGCCGCTGCTCCGGCGACAAAATACATATTAACTTTGGAATTCCCGAGTGGAAAGTGTTAATAGACAAAATAGGTAAATTAATTAAAATATTGCAATAGATAATACTTTGTTTATAACAATGATTTTCTACTAATAGTTTGTTTTAATTAATTTTTAATCCAAAAGTAATTTGTTAAAAATTTTCTCGAATTGGCGAGGACAACATTATTTGAATACCCATATATAAATATGAATACCAGGCTCAAAAATAGCAATCAAAATCTAATTAATTTGTTTAACTAGTATCAATACTTCCAATTAATCCTCGGTATTTAATTTCACATTTGTTTAATTTATACAATTATTTTTTTAAACTTTATAAATACAATATGATAAACTTTGCAGTCTACTTAATTTTGGTCAAATTTATTATGATTTTAGTTTCAAAATCACAATGCTGTACAGAGTCAGTTCTCAATTTTGTTATAAATTGTTTACTTTATAAAACATTAAGGGACAAATACAATATAATTATCTCTAACAATAATACGTAGTTACTATGTATATACTTAAATTTAAAATTTATCTATATCACACAGGTTGTCCATTTTTTCCAAATAAATAGTCAGTTTTTTAAATATTTTAAACATATTTTAATCAACTGTATATTTAAATAAGTTATGTTACTTAAAATAAGCTCGTAATTCTTATATCAAATATGTTAAATATGGCCTTTTAAAAATACTTGGTATCATTTATCAATTCTGTAAAAAATTTTAACATATCGATTAAATTTTTCATTATTAGAGTACTATAACTTGTTAAAGTATACTGTAATAACTTTCATTTTGTTTGAGGCTTAATCATAATATCCAACAAGTACTTCAACAAATTCCGTAGAAAGTTTTAAGGTATATCAAAATATACTTATAAAAATATTCAAAATTATTTTTTGTCTTTCCATTTAGCATTTTTTTAGTTTGCCAGATTTTTACCAGTTAAGTGTCCATCGCTGATATTATAGTGGAAATGGAAATAATAGAGAGAAAAAAAAAAAAAACGTTGAATTAAATTTCCAATTTTTTTTTTAGATTTAATTCAAATATACATTTATAAATATCATTCATTATATCAAATTTTGTATATTTATGTATAAAAATATATTTTAATAATATGATGATATGTTGTATGTCTCCTGAAGAAAATTACTAGATGAAATTTAAATTTGACAATTTGTACTATAATGACAATGACTTTTTTGTGCAGATATTGCTCTCCACCATAATTTCACTTTATTCTCCAGTATCACAATTATAAATCTGTGCAACAAGAAATTTATAATATTTCTATAAAATGCTACATGGAAAGTATTAATTATATATCTAAATAATTAAGGTATATATCAACAATATAAAACGTAATTTGGTCAAAAGTTTCGTTACTATTTTTTAATATGGATCTTCTCTAATAATTGATATGACTAACTAAATTTAATTTTATGGTCTCAGTTATGCTTCTATATTAGTAAAAAAAAATATAAAAAATTAGAATAATTATTAATAAATAGTTTTATTTTACTGGAATAATATTGGAGCGAACAATTGAGGGATTGAGTAAAAGTCGAGTTTATTTGAATATATAAGAAAAAAGTCTTGCTTGAGTTTTTTTTGAATATATGAGATACCTCGGTTTGATTAATCTCTATCTTCCTAAATATCTCTGAATGAAAAAAAAATGTAAAAAGCAACAAACAATTGCTGGTGGAATCCAAGTAAATAAAAAGCTTCTCATTAATTCAATAATTCGAAAAGTTAACTAGATAGTTCAAAGTAAGATGATTTGAATCCAATAAAAATAATGTTGATTTTGAAACACATGATTACATAATGTAAAATAGACATATGTGAAAGCACATTGTCGTATATTTAAAAATGAAATAGCTTATCAACGCTACTTTTTCCTTGGTTTTGATAATAAATTTAATAGGTATGATACTGGCGCTGTGTTACTATTAATTTGGAAGTCAATAAATAAAAAATTTAACATGAAAGCAAAGTATTGATAGCAATAGGATTTGTTTTAATAGTTGGAATGTAGAACCCCAAGTTAATGCTTATTCCGTAATCTTTACTGAAATTGGTGTAGAAACCAAACATTTTTTCCTAGGTTAGAAAGTCTGACCCACCTCTATTTTATTGGTTAATTTATTAGATGATGACTGTATGCAAAAATCAAATTCAAAAGAATATATTTTGTAATTAGAAGTTATTATATTTCGATGTATATTTTAAATTAAATTGTTTTTTGTTATATGTTGCTTTGTAAGTATTTGATACTTATGCCACGTGATTATTTGATTTCTTCATATATCATTTAAAAAAGAAGATCCTTATTAAAAAAATAAGATAACATTTGCAGCTTATAATTCATTCAACGATTAAGTTATGTGCGTTTGTCTTAGAATTGTGTTAAGCCACAATTCCAATTTTATGTAGTCTTACATCTACTAGATAAAATTAAGCGGTAGAAGATTATATCGATTTTTTCATATATGTATATACATATATAAATATATACATACATTTGTCAAAGGACCGGGCGTACCGATAAATATTTTTTAGAGTAAACAAGCAGGTTTTTTTCTAGTCAGTCTTACAGCACACTTAGAACACGGTTAGAAGTCTTTTAATTTTTTTTAACACCAATCTTATAGTGTTACATGAAGACAGATTAAATACCAATTTTATTAAAAATATATTTGAACTTGCTCAAATAATAATAATAAATTACGATGTGAGTGGTACGACTGAATGAAAAATTTAATATTTATTTTTAACCGATATTTAGTATAAATTTCATGATTTAATATTGACGATATCAATTACTTTTGCATCTTTCAATATCAAACTATCGTAACCTTAAATTCTAAAAATGGTATAAAATTTTAAGCTTTAGTGAATTTATGGAAAAGCTGTAAAGCAATATGCAATTTGTATTTTTATATGATTTAGTAATATATAATATATAACATTTAATTATTAGAAATCTTGTATAATTTACAACATTAATCCTTTAATAAAAACCGTTAGTGGTACTATAAAATACATGAATATTTTAAATGTATTTTAACCCTCTATAGGCCAAACTTCTGTTTACATTCAAAAAAATCAGGGAAAGTAAAAATCAGTAAAACTAAATCAGTAAACTAAATTATAAACCTAAATGTGCACATGGAAAATAAATTCGGTTTGAACGATTTTTTTTACTTTCAAATAAGAGCGTTTTATAATTTTCGTACCTTTGTGTATGAAAATGTTATTTCAGGTTGAAAAGCCTAGAAAAAAGTCATAAATGTTGAAATGGATTGTCTTGGCACGGAAAGCCATAATTATTTGGGGAAATATTGAGAAAATTTAGAATGTGACTTGAAAGTTATGTGGACCCATAGAGAGTTAAGGACCAAAAAGGACTCAAAAGTATTACCATAAGATATCACAAATAATATGACATAAAAGTGTAAAGTTTTGAAAAACAAGTTACAGTTTTGAGATTGATAAATATGCCTTCTCTAAAGATGAAAACTGTAAATCACCTTCATGGATTTTACAAAAATAAGTGCATGTAAATGAACATTTCCTAAAGTATACGTAGTATAAATAGAAAACTTTATATTTAAGTACGCTTAATCTCTAATTATCAAACTACGTTAAGTTTTCGTACAAAGCTATGTTAATAAATTTTTAGGCAGTAGTTTATACAGAAAGATATCGAGTTTTAATTTTAGATATATAGCGTCAATATATTTAACAATTTTAGAAAAAATATGTATTAGTTCTAAATGTAGCTTTACGCATATGTTGCAAATAGCGATCTAATTTATATAATTTTATACGCAGTATTCACCATTCTTCAGAGATTTTGGCATGCATCGTTCAAATACCTTGTACGCTCGGTCATTTGACACTTTACCGTAATTCTTAAACGTTAATATGAATGTTCAACGTTTTACAATACGTACTAATAGTGCACGGACGTACGCCCTCAGTTACTTGACGTTCTCGCCATGGACACGAATTTTTGGGGGTACTCGAATCATTTCGAATTCACACGATCTAGACATGTCCAGATAAGCAATCGGAACCGATTTTGATTCAATCGGGACAGGAGCATTTTTAAGAATAATTTGTTTCTCGATATCTAGACATTTCTAGTCGTGATCCTGTCCTATGTGTCCGCATTTTTGGGTGCCTCTTTTGGTGATCCGATCAAGAGAGCGTCCAGTTCTGGTTGTTCTCCGGTTGGCTGATGTTCTGTGGAAACTAGGCGATCTATGGAAGAAATAGCTCGGTGCTCCGGAGCCACGGAAACTCCGACGCAATCGGCATCGTGAGTGGCTATCGGGCGACGCATCATGAAGGACAGACAACAACATCTGAACAGAAACGTTAAGTAAAAGTGACAGACAGGAAAATAGACACAGAGTCACAACAGATACACAAGATTAGATAAATATAAATAGGTAGTAGAAATGAGATTTTGTTTTTATGTGCATGCATTTAAAAGTATATTTTTGGTACCTGTCCCATAAATGAAGTTTCAGAAAAACAGATATAACAAACACACAAAACCCAAAGCCAAATTATATTCTACAAAACCATATGCAAATAGGGGAAATATGGACAAAATGACGTTTTGGCCTTATTTAAAAATTGGCTAGATTTATTAATGTTCCCGCGACTAACGTGAAGAAAGACATAATCAAAACCCTGTCAGATGTTATGCGTCATTGTCACAGTCTTGTCGAAGTAATCAGTTTGGTTTGGTCATATTTTTGAGGAAGTTTTATATCGATATTTACAATTACTTCTATTAAAATTAATGAACTTATGCCAATACTAGTGTTTTGGATCAATTTTACTGCAATAATCAGGTGTTTGATGGAATTTTGATTATGAACAATATCAAATAGTACTATCAACAAGTACTGTAAAGCAGTTTATTCGAGGACAAAAAATATATTCGAAACCTGTAAAAACTTTTTGTTGAGTTTAATAAAAAGTGATTGGCTTTACTACTTCTAAAAACGTGAACTCAACAACAGGAGAGCGTAATTTCAAATATGGGCTGATTTTGCTGTGCAACAGACCAATGTTATGATAAGGCCATGGTACGCTCCAACTTGAGGGGCGTCCATTAATCACGTGAGCGAGTTTTTAAGGATTTTTGGACCCCCCTCTCCCTTGGTGATATTCAAAATTAACCGCCCCCCTCCCCCACCAAACATCACGTGTATTTTCAGTTACGTGATAAAACTGTAATTTTTTAAAATTTTATTTGCAAATGTTTGATTTTTTTAAAAAAGCAGTTAAAAAATAAATACACGTGATATCTTACTATACCCCTCCCTCCCCCAGGTGATATTTCGTAATTTTTTGTCAGACCCAAAAACCTCACGTGATTAATGGACGCCCTCTTGCTTAATCATACTGAATACTGTCAAAATGTCATGTATACGCTGTGCATTCAGGCGTTTTAACATACACTGCAACGTCACTTATATGTTATGAAGCTAGGTCAGAAAGACCCTGTTATCTAAGATCGGTTTTTTGATATTTGTGCGGTTTCTAGGTTAGGTTTTCTATCTGACAAACTGTGAAAAACGCCTGACTGCACAGAAACCAAATGGCTTTTGTCAATATTTATCATGGAAAGTTCTTCATAACATAGCCTTGCCATAGCATTGGTCTTTTGTGCGGCAGAATCGGTACATCAGTTTCTAAACTTTTAGGCACAACATCAAATCTTGATGTAAAATTTTATAATGAGTTAAAAATTATATTTTTATAATAAATTTGGTTAATATGAGTCAACTGATGACTTACATGCGGAAAGTATTTTTTGAAAGCAATTTTTAGCATTTCAATATTACAAACTTAAAATAAGTTTATACTCAACTTCATGCTTACGTACTTTTAAAAATCATAAAATTTTATTATATAATATTTAACTATGTGCACACTTGTTTGCCTTGAATTTTTAATAATTATCAACAATAAAATTAATTGAAAATTATAAGATTTTTTTTTCTTATAAGATTAAACATTTAACGCCTAGCTACCTAAGGTGATTCCAAATAAAATTATACTGTTTTTGAAAATATACCAAAAAATTTGAAATAATACAAATAAATTAATAAATAAGTAATTTTCTATAAACATTATTACATAATATTGCATTTAAATTTATTTAATTTAAATCTATTCAAGAGACTGATAAATTATAACATAAGTTAAAAATTTATTAAATTAGATTGTTAGAAAAATTAAGCGGGGCGCAACAATCGGAAAAACCGGGCGGAAGGTGGGGCGTTACTAAAAGGTTGAAAACCACTGATTTAAGGTTTAATTACCAGGAATGTGATTAAACTGATTTAACATTAATTGCTAGATATATGAGCTATCCCTTACATTTTGTTTTGGATATTCTTAGCCGAGTCAAACTCTTAACACGTTCTGTTTTAGAGTGATGTGCGGTAGATGGCGTAAATGTTTTGAGGAAAACAATATAAGTTGTAATAATTGGAAAACATTCAATAATCCTGGTGCAGCTAATGTGAAAATAGCAGTAACGAATTAAAATAAATTGAAAGATATCTAGGAACATTGGGATTTATTTTTATGAATATTTGCACAGAAATGCAAATTAAAATTAAAGTTCTAATAAGGCACTTTTGTTCTACAGATTTAATAAATGAAATACTATAAAATACACATATAATAAATTAAAAGCATTCTAAAAGCGATTTCTATCATTCCACATGATAAAACAAACTCATATTGAAATAGTTTTAGTATGCATCTCAAAGTTTTATAATAATAATGATAAATACATATAATAAATTATATACATATAATAAATTAAAAGCATTCTAATGACGATCTCTATCATTCCAGATGATAAAACAAACTCATATCCAAATAGTTTTAGTATGCGTCTCAAAGTTGTATATTGATAATAATGAATGAAAATGAATTAATATAACTGTGACGAAATGAATTCATATATAATAAATATATAATAAATTAGAACCACTAACCTGACACCTGTGAGAATTAGTCCCAATACCAGTATTGATCCTCCGGCACCAAGAAGTAAGTATCTATGGTCAGCCGCCTCTGCACCAGGGCTAAGCTGGACAAGCCCAACTACGAGAACAATTGCTCCAAGCAATAAGAGGCATACGACTACTTGAAGAGCTGATACCTAAATATCGATAGAATACATTAATATATTAAATCCTATTAATGTTTGTTATGGATTTCCAGTTATCTATATTAAAATAATCGAATACATATAGTAGTAATTTTTTTCTATTATTTTTGTTTCTAGAATTTTCTATACTAACTTAATTTTTATAATTAAACCACATCTCATAGGCCTATAATATTTTACAAGGTTCGGTTTGACTATCAACTCTATCACCATGCGAAGTTTCATCAATATCCCAGAAGAGTAAACCTGAGGGTAAGTCTATTTCTAATAAATTTTCACATTGGTGACGCCAACGAGATAGAAAGGGGAGCAATATGGCAATTCGAGTCAGCCTTGATCCATGGATTATAACAACAATATATTGTCATGACTGTTGTACAAGATTTCTCATCAGATTTTTAATATTGTTTTTAAATATTTATTAACTGATAACTGATGATTTAGAAATAGTCTAATAATAATTGACCATCTAATGTGTTATACGTATGAAAAGTCGGGTATTGAATTAAAAAAATACCCATTGTGAAATAATCACATAGTAACAAGATACTAAATACATGGAGCCAAGTTTTCTAAGTTGATATATTAATAGCATGAGTCAATCATTAATGTTCTGTGTACGTATAAAAATAGATAGAATTAAATTCTTGTTCAATAGATAGGAATTGAATTGTTAAACGACGCCTCTATCTAGCCAATGAACAATAGCGAATAATTTGAAAAAAAATATTATTGAATAATTTGATATGTAATATCGAAAGCTATCATTAAATTTACACTTTGATTGGAAATAGTTTCTAGTAAATCTCAATAAAAGAGAACATTTATTTGGATACTATCTATCAACTGCGCTCTTAGTTCAAATTATCGCATAGCACAAAATATTGCTATATATATTATTTGGTTTAAAAAAATTATGAAAACATATTGTTTTATTCACATATACATTAACAACTGTCCAATTAAGGACATTTAGCAATTTTGATTATTAACAATTATTAGCTGAAACAGAGACGTCGTATAAAATGATGAGATGTCGGAAAGACGACTCAGTAGTTGTTTTTCCATTCGTTATGTATAATATTAAAATAGTATTGTAATAAAAACTCAAATACTCTTTAATAAATATTAATACTAACAATATGTTATTTAGGCGGTAGTTCTCAGTTTTTAAGGAATCGGCTAGCAAATTTAGGATTACATCTTTTACAGTAGGTGTGTTCGTGTCGAATCAGCCAGTTAGGAAAATATTCGATGGCGATGTTGGGGAATATTTTCTGAAATTTTTGTATTATATCTATGTTGGTTTCATGTGCACTGCCCCATAATTGGATGTTGTACTACCAAATAGGCTCCAGTATGGCTTAAATAGTAATTTGTGAAGGGGCACTATATTATATATGGTGCAAAGTTTTATTTAAGCTATTGCCGATTTTTCTTAATATGAATAATATATAAAAATGATAAATTTATTCAAATTTGGTCGCAAACTGTTGAAAATCAGCTATAATTCAACAAAATGACAGTATCTGTTACAAAAATTTATGGACAATTAATTTGTTCGAAAATGTGATAGGGTAGGGCGGTCACAAATGTCCAACTTAACTTTGAGGAACTATATTGTGAAAATCAAACCAATTATATCACAACAAATAACACATATTAAAGTAATAACTATCTGATTATGTTTAGTTTATCTGTGTGTTTTTTGCTGTTTTTCAAAAATTTGTTACCTGGTACTTTCTACTCAATATACTGAATGAAATGGGAAGGTCACGGACAAACAAGATCAATGTCTTATTTTTAATATTAAAAGAATTTTGCGAAATAAACGCTAGATAATTCAACCAATGCAAAATATAAATTTGATGGGTACATTTTGCACAGAGATAACACTGTATATTATCTTGATCTGGTGTTTCGTTAGAAATATTCAACAGCAGAGTTAACTACTTATTTAATTTATCTGTTATAAAATTGCTCTTTAACGTAAGTTAAGGTTTCATTTAATATTTTTTATTGTTTATACTTTTGCTATGGTAAAGGTTCTTTTGGTTCTTTCTACCCTATTCACGTTGTACAAGTTATATAAAAAACTGTTGAATCTAACTTAAAATTAACAATCTTACAAAATAATTAAATAACGTATACTTAAAAACCGTATTATGGTATCATAAACTAAGCAACAGTGCTCACAACCAAAAAAAACAACAATGAAAAAAAAAAACTTTTGTTTGGAATTTGGAACATTACTGTTTATCTCCCGCTTAGCAGCGCCGTAAAATCCAGGTGAAGGCTGGTAATATATCTTTTTCCCTCTACTTTCAAATACTGTTGTTGAATTTTTTAACTTTAGTTTTTGAGATATCGGTGGTGGACCTTTTTACTCCGCTCTACCCTACACAAAGCTGAAAGAACACCACCAATGCCTATGCAATTATAATCGTACTATTATCTAATACTTAATATTTAATGTTTCTAACATTTCGATATGTATGTTTTTTAACTTCCCGTAAGGCAAGTTATAGTAATCGCAAAAAAATCGAAAATGGAAATTTTTATATATATTCAGGTTTCAAAGGTCTCTGAATATTTTGGCGTACCTTAGAAAAAATGAATGTATGTGTGTGTGTGTGTGCAGATACAAATTTTCGTCGACGATTTCGGAAACACCGATCAACCGATTTGAATAATTCGAAAAACATTCGATTCATATTGATAAGGAGACGTGCTGATTAGTTTTTGGCGAAGGCAGGTCTAGCCGTTCTGAAAATACGGGATAAAAAGTGCCAAAAACGGTAACTCAGTTTTTAAGAGAACGGAGGGTCCGATTTTAATAATTCAAAAAACATTTTACTTGTATTGACGAAATGAATGGTAAAACTTTGGGAAGCCAGGTACAGCGGTTATGGACTCTCAATGAAAATAATTTAAAAAAATGTCATTCGGTGATCAAAAATATTTATTGGACATATGTACATCAAATTATAAGATATTTTATAGAGATTTTAATATTGCGTACACATTTTGTGTAAATTTTTTTGGGTTCCGTACCAAGATTTTTAATTTTGAATTTTTTTTTATATGGTTCAAACAAATGTCCTCGACATTTTCTACAGTATGGAATAACCGATTTGTATGATAAAAAAATCATTCGGTTTGCACTCGATCGCGAAGTGTTTTTGCTAAAGGCAATTTTGCCGTTTCGGAGGTATGGAGCGTAAAGGGTGTAAAAACGGTTATGCAGTTTTTGAGATAACAACGGATTATCCGATTACATTAATTCAAAAAACATTTTGCTTGAGTAGATGGTGTGCAAATATGCATTTACAGAAATTTTAGAGAATTTGAAAATTTAAAAAAAAATCAAAATTTTCAAAAAAAAATTCAAAGTTTCAAAAAATTCAAATTTTCGAAATTTTTCATACTTTTCAAAAAAAAACTAAATTTCAAATGATTAGAAAAAAATAACTTCTTACAAAAATTTTAAAATTTTTCGAAAATTAAAAAAAAAATCGAATATTTTCAAAAATTTCCGAATTTTCAAAATATTTAAAAAAACGTTCTTTTTAGATTAAAAACAATTTTAAACTTCGAAAAAAATCTAAATTATCAAAAAACTTCTAAATTATCAAAAAAATCAAATTCTAAAAAATGGACTCTTGTAAACGTACACATAAGTTGTTTATGAATTCCGCTCATCACCCAATTTAAAAAGCACTTATAAATTTACAGTATGTATTTATAATAAATAATCTATTTGAAAATCTTCAGAACAATTATTGATTAACTTCCCGTAGGGCAAGTTATAGTAATCACAAAAAAATCGACTAGCTGTAAGTGGAATTCTGTCTTAAGGCAATTAAGGCATCGTGCCTTAAGGCAAATTGCTGGAACTTCCCGTACCAAAAATTATTATTTTTTTAAAAACGATTAACATTTTTGAAAAAAATTTACTTAAAAAAAATAAGATTTTTTGAAACTATAAATTGGACAAAAAATTACTTTTTTTGAAAAAAAAATAAAACAAAAATATTTTTTTTTGAAAAAAATTTAATTTAGTTTACATATCATTATACTGCTTTATTGATAAAGATTGAGTTTTACGTAATTGTTCTTCTATTGATAAGAGTCCACGATTTTTTTTAATTGTTTTTTTTTAAATATACCATCAGAAATTACAAAGTTCTATAAGCCTTTGTGTCAAAATTTGTATAGAGCAAAAGTAACGACCTTAGAAAAAAATTCTGCTAAAACTTATCTATACATGTCAGTATAGAGGTAAATCCTTTCATCAAATCTACAATGATTGCAAATTTCTTCAATCATATAGATCATTTTATAATTAAAATATAAATAATCTATAATTATACAGATTTTATATTAAAAATTTTAATAAACCTTAGATACTATTGAAACTATTTATTTTAAGATTTCTGTGCAAAATTAGAAAAAAGTGTATTGAAATTTTTTTACAAATTACCACAAAATCTACATAAAATTTAATCTACACACAACACAAATAAAACACATTGTTAGAAAAAACTTATATTTAAGTAATTATTAAGTAATTTAGGTACCGTAACAAAATCAATATGTAATATAAATTATATGTAACATCATCAATTATGAAATAAATATATATTTAATCATGCCATCTCTCGTAGAGTATTTCTTCAATATAAATGTATTTCACATTATTTTTTATATTTAATATTATTTTATGAAAGCCTCTAGAGGTATTTTATTTTCTTTGCTCAGTTCTGTGAAAACAAATACAGCTCTTTGGGGTTCCCAATTAGTCTCTATCAGACATTTTTCTGACCACTCGAGCTTCATATTGGTATACTCTGAAAACTGCTGAATAATTTGTTTTTTATTGGAATCATCAATCACAGCCGGATTTGGTACTTCAGCAACTGGTGAAGCTGATACAGGTACAGGTTGCACAGAGGTTCCTGCTACAGGAGCTGTTGGAGCTTGAAAAGCTCCTTTAATTTGAGAAGGTGTTGCAGTATTTATAACCATTTCTTCACTTATGATACAAAATCCAGATCCAGCAGGAATAATAGTCATTACTTTTAGGAAGCATCGAATTGGTGGATCGCTTTCACCATTTAATTCTTTGAAAAGTCCAGATACGGAAAGGAGCATCATGGCAGGAGTACAAACAGTCAGATCTACTTGAAATGATGTAGGATCATGTTGCGTTTTTGGTAATGCTGTTAAATGTCCTACAACATGCAAGCGGCTTTCTTTTAGTGTTCTGTGTCTTGAAATAATATCTCGACAGCGAAACAAATTACGATTAACTTTATGGTAAACAGTATTCTTTTCAGTGGTGAAGAAAACAGATACGGACAATCTTGCATTTTCATGATATGCATCTAGCAAGGGTTGTCTGCTCTCAGAATCATAAATAGTAAAATATTGCAGCAAAAATTGCCGAATAATACCCTCAGCGCCCGCATTGCAAAGAAAAGAAGCTTTAGATGTAGGTAAGTCAACAGCTTCTCCCAAATCAAATGATATCTGTGGTGGAATTTCTGCTTCGTCCAATTTCACCAACTTTGGAAAGAGTTTTTGTACTTCTCTTACATAAACACTAGGATCTCTAAATTTGCCTTTTAATGGATTTCCTTCCAAAATCAGTTCCATCAACGGCAGCTTTTTCAAAACCTCTAATAGACTTGTATGTACCAACTTATTATTTTTTAAATGCAATATTGTGATGTTAGGTAATTTTGCTGTTATACATTTCATATGATTTGTAAAAGAAATATTATTGCTATCTAAATTTAATGCTGTTAAATCTGGTACTCTTGAGGCTATTATACCAATAGCTTCAATCATAACTTTTGGTCTAGCCAAACAGCAATACACATCAGATAATTCAGGATCAGTATGAAAGCTAGACAAGTCTAATGCTTTCGCAGCAGGGTTATATCTTTTAGCAAATGCTGCAATCATTTTTTCACGAAGGTTCTCGTCGATGGTAAGTTGAGGTATCCCAGATCGAACTTTTATAATCATTGTTTGTCTATTTGGTAAAGTAATTAATCTATCTAGCTTCAAGATTTTCTCTGCAATAGAAAAACTATCAATATAAAAGATAGCTTTATCTTGATCTAGTTTGAAGTACAGAGGATGAAACGGATCAGGTTGTATACGACTATAAATAGTTTTAATTATGAAATCCTTGTCATAATTTCTCATGTACGGTATCATTACTTCATAAAAACCTGATGGTCCTGGCAATAATTTTTTATTGGGCAATGTCGAATTACGATTTCGTCCCTCATGTCTGTCTCCTCTCCTATTTCTTTGATTTATAGGTCTGACCTGGGATGTACTCAATCTAGTCATGTCAATATTTTCATTCAAAAGGTGTGCTCGGTCTGACACTTCATAATTTTTGAATTTCTGACCACCATGATGACGATTTTGGTTTGTCTTAAAGCTAATACGACGAGTGCTATCTTTCGTTCGGTCATCATGTTCATCTTTAAATCTGCTGTTGAAATGTGTGGAATTCCAGCTTCCTCTATTACCATTGCCCCTGTAACCACTTCTTTTAGACATGTCTCCGTGGCAATATTACCCTTTGCAGTATAGTATTTGCTAATTTGCAAGCAATTGCTGCAGTTTCATATACGATTGAATGTCTTCTACGATACTTCTTGACAAATAAAAATCGTATTATATAGATTTATGGGTTATTAATCTTATTGAGAGCTCTTAATTATAACTTAATTTTACATAGCGGAAAAAAACAACAAATGTCAAATATAGGTAGCCATTTTGTTCAAGCATTAATGCATAGTAGGCGTGAAGTTCGCTGATTTTATAACAAAGTGAGCCATAGCCAACTTCAAGATAAAAAATGACTAGTTTGAATTACAACTAGAAATAACTAGTTGGAATTGGTATTTTGCCTTGAGACAAGTTACATAAACTTCCTGATATGTGTAAATAATCGACTCAATAAAAAATAATTTATGAGTAATTAAAAGTATTCCAAAATCTGTTCACATACATACGCGCGCGCACACACACATACATACACACACATACTTTTTCCAAATTTGGTCTCATTCGATTCAGAATGGCTTGAAACGTCGAGAATACATAAAATTAGCGAATCAGATTTTTTTATGAAAATATAAACTTATCCTTCGGAAAGTTAAAAAATTAAATAGTCTATGAACAGCTTAAAATAATTTCTGATAAACCAATATTTTAGGTCACCTATCAAAATAAAAAGTTTTTTTATTCAACGGCAAAAGCAAACGGTAGTACAAACAATTTTGCATTTATGAAGTAGTTACTGATTTCAATTATCAAAAACAATTTTATTTATTATAATCTTGGAAAAAAGGTTAAATGATATAATTATCTTTGAATTCTTTTAAGATTGTTTTTAAATAAATAAGATAACTTACGAGATATTCCCCAAAATATAAAAACAAATGCCATTACATGTTATGCGCGTACGTTATATTAGGTTGTCAAATATCTCCCTTCCGCTTTTTTGCTATTGGTTTATAATACAAAAAGGCGGAAGGGAGATATTTGACAACCTATTATTCAATCGCGATTTTTATAAATAATAAATAATTATAACCGTTTAAAATTAAACTAGTGGGGCGCATAGCATCGTGCCTTAAGGCAAACTGCTGGAACTTCCCGTACCAAAAATTGAAAAAATTTCACTTCGAAAAAATTAGATTTTTGAGAAACTATAAATTCGACAAAAAATTACCTCTTTTGAAAAAAAAGGGTTTTCTTTATTTTGGCATAGTTTGGAAATACAGAAGTTTTTTTCAAAGCAATTGTACTGCTTTAACTGCATAGAGAAGAAATGTCAAAGCGCGTAAGCGTCGCGTCGCCGTCTAACGGAAAAACAATGGTACGGAACACATAGGAATGTAAACAAAATTCATACTTATTGTTAAAATCTCTATAAAATATCTGATAATTTGATGTGCATGGGTTTAATGATCGTTTTTACCCGCCAAATGGCTTTTTTTTTACTTTTTTCATTAGATCTCCAAAACCGCTAGACCTGCCTTTATGAAAAAAGCAATGTTTTGTCAAATTTATAGTTTCTCAAAAATCTATTTTTTTCGTAGTAAAATTTTTTAAAAAATGTTAATTGTTTTTAAAAAAAATAATTTTTGTACGGGAAGTTCCAGCAATTTGCCTTAAGGCACGATGCCATGCGCCCTGCTAGTTGAAACATAAAAAAATGCGTAATATTAACCTTTCCGCACAAGTAGTACTCGGGCAGCCCATCTCCGTCGCATCCCGCCGGACTGGGCCCGTATTGTCCGCTGGGCGAGGGGCTCGGCGTGCCGGCTGCGTTGTGGTGCGGTGCGCCCGGCAACCACGCACCGCCCAAGTACAGCTGGTTCGGGCGCTTTGTGCGCTTTTCGGCACGGCGACGCTCGTGCCGAACTGCCACTGCGGGCATTGCGCCGATCATTGTGCTGAAAAAAAAGGATACACAATTTACTCTCTATATTTTAAATGTATTGTTATTGTTGCATCAAACTGCCGTACAAAGAGTGAAATTAACGTCTCTTTATTTTATAAAATTGTTCATGACGTACATACAATACAGCACATATTTTTGTATCGCATGGATCAATTTATAACTAGTTGTAAGTAAAATTTTGTCTCATGACAAATTACATAAACTTCCGAATACGTATACAAAATCAGCTTGATTAAGAATTAAAATTCAGCTATATAGGTAAAATAACTAACTGCTTATTCCAAAAATAAAGTATTTGCTTTCACTAAAAAATACAGCACAGTTTGAAATCTTTTATTGCATTATGCGCGATGATACATCATATATAATTATATGGTTGTCTACCCTAAGAGTATTTTACATTTTCTGCATTTGTTTCTATTTCTATTAATAATTATAATTAATATAGCAAGATGTACCTAAAAAAGAAAAACTCAACAAAATACATCTCCCATGCTTGAAAAAGCATAATAAAATAAAAAACAACGTATGAGAAAGAAGAAAAATTGCAAGACAATACTTGGTTGATACAGAGTTTCCACTAAAAAATATTCAATACGATTTCTAATTGATGTCTTTCAATAAGGTGACCATATTTTAAGTCAAATCCGGGACGGCAATTTTCAGTTATGCTAATCAGGGACGTCGGGGGTGGGGGAGGGTATGTTGGTATGTAGTTTTTCTAAATGAATCTTTTTTATCATAATTGCGAGCTTAAAGTAAGAGCTTTATACTTCGACTATTATATGCAATACTTCTTTATCTATGATATTATATCTTATATTTTTCGATCTATATGCTCTATTCAATTTTCTTCATAATTTGAAAAAAATTGCATCTGTTAGTTTGTTTTCTTAATTTTTGTTAATTCAACCTTTAATTGTCGGAAAACCGAGACATCCGGGACTGTCCCGGCCAATCCGGGACGTATAGTCACTTCACTTTAAAGCATACTTATAATATCTGTAACTGTACAAATTAAAATAATTTGTGTAAGATATTTCATCTATTTTGTGTTCTGAAAAAGTATTTAAGTAAGGACGTCAACTGTAATCAGTACCTACGGAAGCACGAAACCGACATATGCACGTAAGGCATAGATTCTGATTAGAATTGCTTAACGCGAGACGCAATTTCAAATTTCAGTAAATTTTTATAATTCAACAGCTTATCGTAGACCTATAATATTTTAGGAAACATTCTCGTAAAGCTCCTTAAAGAGTATTTATTGCAGTATTTTCTTATTTCTCGGTTTTTTGAAAACTAATAGGTAAATTGACAAATATTATAAAAATAAACGAACAAGAGCTGTTTTTTCAAATTAATCATGAAGAAAATTGAATAGAATTTTATACAAAGCTCAAAAGCGAGAAAAACTGAGATTAAACACAGATAAAATAGTATTACATATAATTGAATAATAAAATTCTTATTAAGAGTCAGCAATCCCGATAAAAAAATTGATTCATATAAAAAAACTGATTTTTAGTAGCATTTGTTATTTTAAAGCCAATACCCACCGCCCATCGAGTCTCGGATTAGCATAACTAAAAATTGCTATCACGGTTTTGACTTTAAAAAAATATGGTCACCTTAGCTTAATATCAAAAGGTTAGACGTACCGTACATTGCTAGGCGTAACGTTATTTGAACGTGTTTCAAAAATCTCGATAAAGTCTATTTGATTCAAATTCTGTAAGGTAGATTTTATAACATTTGTTCACGTATTATGAATAAAATAATAAACTAAAATGAATACAAAATATGACGCTTTAACGGTGTCCACTAGGGTTTATACAAAAACCGACATTTCAGAAAACCGGTTTTCAAATTTTAATTTTACTAAGAAACCGGTTTTCGAATTTTATATAGAAAATAAATTTTTGCTCGAATATTCAGTAATTTATCTGCAAATTTAGTGTAATTTAGAATAGTATTTGACTGAATTTATTTATTGTTCAATTTTATAGATAGTAAACGAAATTATTTTAATTTTAATTAGTAGAATTAAAAAATAATATTCATCATTTTCACATATAAGAATGAAAATATTTTTATGATAGTGAAAGGAAAGTTTTCGAATGAATAAAAATAATACATTTTTAAATAAAAAAAAAAATAAAAAAAATATTAGATACATGTTGATACATACTTGTTAATACCAATTTTAGTTTTAAAAACAATTAAGTTAAACTTTTATTTCTGTTCCGAGCAATTTTAATTAATTAATTTTAAACATTCTAATTGTTTTTTGTTTAATAAAATATGATTTAAAAAATTGAGAACGTCTATCGAATTGCTACTTAGACGTGTCCTTTGTAACTCACAAAATTTCGTGAAATAGAAAATACTCTCATACTTGCGACCAAATTATGCTTAATTGTTTTTAAAGCCTGATATAATAATTCTAAGTTTTTTTGTCTTTAATTTGTGGTTTAAAAGGGTTTAAAACTCTTTTTTTGTTTGAGTAGAGGAAGTTACTTCTTCAAGAAGTCACACTGATTTTAATTAATATACACACTGGTATAAAAATCTAAACTATTATATACAAAACCTTACTGGGAACCATTGCAGACTGATGAGATATCAAATGCTATTGACACGATATGATTTCAAGAATCAAAACGCTTTCATCTATCTTTTATATTTGGCTATATTTGTCATTTTCCATTTATAAAGTGAAAACCGACTTTTTTCACTAAAAAACCGGTTTTCGAATTCCACCATTTTCGCCGGTTTTTGAAAACTGACAAACCCTAGTGTCCACATATTGTGATGAATATTATTTTTCCGCAGCATTATATTCACACCAGCAGGCATCATGGCAAAATATTTATCTGCGTATTATTGATAAATCAAGCACACCCTCAGCGTCGAATCTCGTATCCCCTTGCGAGGCTAAGTGGCTGTACTTTATCATATTTATACACGCCATTGACATATATTTTTGGGCATGGCCCGGCGCTAAAATCAACAATGATCTCGCATGATTGCGAGGCATTTACGCAGTGCTGAAAATATTATCCAATCCGTCATAAGAACTACCGCTTTAGTTATTATCAATAAGGAAATACTGCAATAAATACTCTTATGAAGTAGGTACAAGAAAATGTAGCAGAACAGTAGAATGCTTGCACGCAATGTAAATTTTTTGAACTTCAGCATAGCAAAAACATTCAACATTCAACGCAAAGAAATATCATGTATAAAATATAAAATGGCAGAATAAATAATCAACTAGTGGTGTATGGCATCGTGCCTTAAGGCAAATTGCTGAAACTCCCCGTACCAAAAATTAAATTAAAATATTAAAAAAAAAAATTAGACTGAAAAAATTAGATTTCTTAGAATTTTTAAATTTCTGCAAAAAAATGTTTTCTTTATTTTGAGAATTTTTACTTTTTTTCAAAGCAATCGCAGCTGCATTGAGCCAAAACTTCGAAGCGCGTAAGCGCCGCGTTGTCGTCTAACTAATCAATATCGAACGGTTTTTGAATTTTTGAAATCCATTTATGTTGTGTGCTAAAAAGTGAACGAAAAATTTTACAACTTTACTTATAATTACAAAGGAACAGCTTCACCGATCGTCGTGATTTTTGAAATTAATCCAGTTGCTTTTGAGAAAACATCGACAAAATGTCAAAAATCAGCTCACACACATACTTTTTCCAAATTTGATCTCATACGATTCAGAATGTCTTGAAACGCCAAGAAAACTTAAAATTTGCATATCGGATTTTGTGGCGAAAACAAACTTCTTCGGGAAGTTAATATAAAGAAACCAGTATAAATAACATCTCATAGAATTGTTGTTAAAGTTACACTTACGAGAATGGCATGATTTAATATGATGTTGCTTTGGTGCCAATTTTCGGATAAAATAGTTATGTTATTCCTGATTTCTTTTATTGTGTAATCGCATGAGTCGGTAGTCACGAATTGTCAAACAGCTAGTCTTCGTTGTTTGTCTGAGCATTTCGCACAATATCAATATTTAAAACCTAACCTCCAAATGGCATGAAATAAACAAAAACTCAATTGGAGGCTCGAATAAAGATATGTCGTGCCGTTGTATTTTCAAATTGAAAATTAAACTTTGAGATATTTGGAAACTTCAACATCTTCAAACATCAGAATTTTTGTAAGTGTATATATTGTATTGTGCGCCCCTGTTATCGAGGGGCTTTCAAAAATTTATTGAGTTTCCTCAATAAAACGGAAAGGACTGGAATCAGCTACAACTCGTGGGACGATGTCAGATGATCTTCGAATCGACCGACAACGCCGCTGAAATAAGTCCTCATACGGGCAATATTTTACATGGGCGAGTTAGCCAAAACATGTTCTCATACGTTCTATATGAGGTATGGTGTTCCGTATTAGAGTTGTTATTTTATTGTTTCGCCTTAAAAAAAAACATTTTATATGAAGATAACTTAGTTAATAATGATAATATAAATATACTAGTTGAAAGTGGCATTTTGTCTTAAGGCAAATTGCATGAATTTCCCGAAATGTGTAATAAATGACTTAATCAACCGAAATTGAGATTTAGATATTTAATTAATTGTAACATAACACAACTAGAAGGAGTTTTGTAGACTTATTTTTCCTCTGAGTTCAATTTTTTTTTAAATTTATGATATTCAAATTTTAGCATTGCTTTAGCTGCATTGAGTCGAAGTATCGAAGCCCGTCGTCGTCTAACGAACAAATTATGTTCCAGAACCCATAGAAATGTGAAGAAAATTTATACGTATTATTAAAATCTACATAAAATTTCTGATAATTTGATGTGCATATGTATAATGATTATTTTTGACCGCCAAATCGCATTTTTCAATTCATTCATTTTGTCAATACAAGTAAAATGTTTTTTGAATTATTGAAATCGGACCTTCTGTTCTCTTAAAAACTGAGTCACCGTTTTTGGCACTTTTTCCCCGTGTCTTCGAAACGGCTAGACCTGCCATTTCCAACAATTAATCAGCACGTCTCTTTATCAATAGGAATCGAATATTTTGTGAATAATTGAAATCGGTTGACGAAATTGTCGACGAAAATTTGTATCCGCACACACACACACACACGCACCCGAGCGCTCACTTTGTTTTTCTAAAGTATGCCAAAATGTTCAAAAACGTTTGAAACGTAAAGATATAAAAAAAAATCATTTTCGATTTTTTTGGGGATTACTATAACTTACCCTACGGTAAGTTAAAAACAAAATAAAATTCTGATTGTTAGAAAGAATTTCTGATTGTCTGTAATAAAATAAAAAAAATCTGGTCAAACACTTTTTCGTATCTATTTATATTTCAGAAAATTTTGTGTAAATTCTTAACATTTAGCTCTTCAGGACATAATAATACAAATATCTGGTGATGTAGACAAAAAGCACATCAAATGCAAGTAACTAAAATTAAGCAATGAATCAGTTAAAGAAATCCTATTTGATTTGAATCAAGCATTGAATGTATAAAAAATGTATTAAATTTGTGAGAATTGTAGGAAACGGTTGCACATATGCTAAGTGGATTGGCAACCCAGATACGAGTATATGTTCTCAATTGGCTAAATTTGCATGCAATGTACGAATATTGTCTTGACACAATTGCTTCTAAATTATTAAAGGAATGCACCTGTCACCATGTACAACAATTCGGTATTCTAATATTAATGGTATATGCTATGTTTTTCAAGTATACTATAGCTTTTCTCACATTCAGATATTTGAATTATTTTTGTTTTTGGTAATACTAATGGTTCCAATCCAAAAAAGAAAGTGAAGTAGTATGAAAGCAATTTTACTACAAGTGTTTTTAGTTCATTACTTGCTATATGAAAGCACATTTTTGAACAAATAACTCAAGGTAAGATGGCATCTAATAAAATAATTCAAAAGTATTTAAAATCATGAACAAATTGTTGTAAAATTGCTAAAATGATTTTTAGTACCTTTGCCATATACATGAAATTTAAAATTTAAGAGGAAATATAAAAATATTTCATATAATATTGCAATATATAAATGTCATGATGATCTAAAAATCGTCAAGAAGGCTTTGAAATTAATTGATTGCATATTGAATTATTTTATGAAAACCAGCATTGCACGATACTATATGGAATGTAATTAGAAAAATTAGGAGAAAGTAGCATATATTATTTTATAATTCGTTACATATACGAGGTGTGTTCAAAAAGTACCCGGAATTACTAATAATTAAATTTCGCGGGTCTGGAGTGTCTGATTGTCAAAATTTTTTTTTATTGTGTTGGTATACATGCCCCTAAAGTATGATGAAATTTTCAGCTATATTCACTGTTTACTTTGTCTGTGGTAGTCGCTAAGGTTCGACGTGTTTTTCTGAGCTCGGCGATTTTTACAATGGAAGAATTGAAAAGTCAAAGAATTTGTATTAAATTTTGCGTAAAAAATGAAATAAAGTGTTGCAAAGTGCAAAAATTCACCAGATATGGCTCCGTGTGACTTTTTCCTATTCCCAAAGTTGAAGAGACCCATGAAAGGACGGCGGTTTTCCTCGATTGAAGAAAATCGCTGAGAGTGCTCAAGGACATATCAAAAAGTGAATATCAAGGGTGCTTCGAAAATTGGAAAAAACGCTGGCATAAGTGTATTATATCTGGGGGGGACTACTTTGAAGGGGACCACATTAATGTAGACGAATAAATAAATATTTTTTTGAAAAAACGAAAATTCCGGGTACTTTTTGAACAGACCTCGTAATGAAAATAAAACAGTTCGATTTAAGTCGTACTTTCATATGTAAATTTTAATTCATACCTTCTTATTATTACGTGTATCGCTTAATAAGAAAAAAAGATTAATGTTCACATTTGGGTCAATGTTAAAAATAAGTATGCACGAACAGAATACTCTCATAAGTACGTGCTGTTTATACTATTTTCTCATAATCTGACCGTTATAAATTTTATTATATTACCAACTCATTTAAAACAGTGAGATCATAAAATTATAAATAATATTTAAGTATGGATTCAAAATAATAAATATTAGTAATATAAAGCATACCTTGCTAACTGAAGTTTTCAGTTCGTCTTATATAACTAACTAAAACTGTACTAGTAATTAACTATAATCTGTTAATTAGTAACAGAATATTATATTGCTTGTGTAGTAAAACTAATTAGTTACTATAATGATTAAAACAAAAACAATAATTGTAAAATAAGTAAAAGATCTGAATGAAAATAAAACTAAATAATGATGAAAAATTATAATTATTGAAAATAAATCATTTTCACATAAATTAAATTACGTTTTGTATAAAATTTCTAGAGCAAGCGATGACCAATCATAGATATTTAAAAAACACAATCTTAAAAATCTATTTTAAGATTTTGATTATTTAGATAGAAGTGCAATGATCCTTTGAAGCTTCGTCTAGGAATTGAATAAAACTTTCTATATTGAGATGAACTCAATACAAACTTTTGTTTTCAAATGTCTGCTTCATTATTTACATTGCCTATAAATAAATAAATAGTTTTAATTAATTTGAACTTTTGTGATGTTCTGATATAAATGAAACGCACAAAATATATACATTATTTACTTGTTAGTTATTTATCATGTATGTTACGTTTTAATTAGTGTTTATACATAATTCATAGCGTAAATTTATTTAAGGTGAGCAAATAACAGAATTATTTTCTACAATATGACAATCGCAAAAGACAAAAAGAACTAATTGTAAGTAGCATTTTTCCCTAAGGAAAGTTGCAGGAACTTCCCGATACGTCTACATAATCAACTTACTTTTTCCAAATTTGAT